AAACAGTTTATCACCGTTACCAACGTGACTGGTGTCTGTTTGCGCTCGACGAGCAGCATGCCACGCGAGTGCGAACCCGCTTCGCGGTAGAGCGCCTCGCCGCGAACGTGGTACTCCCAAAGGCAGTGGCCCTAAGGAGAACTACAAGTTGGCGCCCAACAAAAGGGCTGACGACCAGAACCCTGGTACGTCTGTGTGTGGCGACTGCTGCCGAGTGACGAGTCCTCGCGCAACCAGCGCTTACCGTGACAATGCAGACCGACTTCTCGGATTTGCTCACGCTGGCGACCGTGGCCGACCCTTTCGCGCGGCCCCCACTTCAACGGGAAGCCGAAATGCCAACCCTCCAACGAGAAGCGCCCTACGGCGCACGCCTGGAGCCGAGCGTGGTTCCGACGCCATTGCGGACGGGCGCCATCGCTCCCGGATCTTCCCTGAACGCACGTGCTCCGCCGCCGGCACAAAGCGAAGCCTACCGGTCTCCCCACGGAGAAACCGCTGCGGCGCCTCATCACACCTTGCTCGAAAACGCGGCACGTGTGATTGAGAGTCTGACAGGTGCGTTGCGAACGACAACACTCGCACCACAGGCCCAACGACCTCCGGTCCGAATTCCCGTCCCGACTTATCGGGGTTACGCAGACAAAGCGAGCGCTACGGACTTCCTTGACGATTTACGGAAGTACCAACGCGCGATGGGAATGTCCGATCGTGAAATACTTGAGCGCATTCTGCCAATCGCGCTCGTCGACGAAGCCGCCCGCTGGTTCCGACTTGTCGGTGACCAACCCGGAACGCTCGATCAGTTCCGAGAGGCGTTCCGCCGCGAATTCCTTCCCGCCGACTACGAGAGAAGGATGCGGCGGGAGCTCGAACAGCGAACCCAGCATCCGGACGAGTCCCTGCTGGAGTTCGTACGAGCCATGCAAGAGCTCTTCGAGCTCGCAGAACCCTCAGCTCCCAATGCAGAGCGAGTGGAACGCGTCATACGCCAAAGCCACCCGACTTTCGCTGCGTATCTTCGAGGCAGCCGTTTCCGCGATCTGAACGAGCTCGCCTCCGAGGCCCGGCGCCTTCAGGGAGACATTCTTGCTGCCCGTGCGTACCGGCCTCCGCCTCCAGCGTCAGCGGCCCTCGAACCGCGCTGCGCGTGGAGCGGGGACACGCCATCTCGAGCACCAAGGCGCTACGATTCCGCAAACTATGCGGAAGATCGGGGCCGAGACACGTACGCAATCTCAGATCGTGCGCTCGACCCGTACTCCTACGGTAGACGAACAAGCCGGCCGACGCCGCAGTTCAGAACCACCGACTCGCGCCCCAACGAGGCAGCGAGGCAGGAGCAAACGAGGCTCCCTCAAGGTCAGCGAGCCGATGCACGCTACGACAGAGCCGGCGAAAACCAAAACGCACGGCGGAACCCCCAGCGAGGCGACGACAGAAGATGTTTTCGGTGCAATCGCCCCGGTCATCTCGCTCGCCAGTGCCCGGAGCGGCCGAACACGGAATCGCACCGTGCGGGAAACGAGCAAAGCCACCGGTAAACGGCCCTTGGACGGACGGACCGGTGGCTAACAAAGAATCCGAGGGTCCCATGGCCACTCTTTTGCCGACCGCCTACAGAATAGGCTTCCCGACCGGCACGCCGGCACCGTTCATTTCTGTAACGATCGCCGGCAAGCCATTCAAGGCACTCCTCGACACCGGAGCAAGCGCTTCGATGTTCGGCGATGAAGTGTTGACTCACCTCCGACAGAATTCTGTCCGTCTCCGAGATTGCAACACTGCCTTTCGCCTAGCCTGCGGAACCGCCCTTTCGGCTGGTACCGCGCGGCTGGTCGCGAGATGGGAGAATCGAGTAAGACGACAACGCTTCGTTCATCTCCCTGGCCTATCGGTGCCCATTATTTTGGGCAGAGACTTCCTTGCCAAAACAGGCATTGTAATCGACGTCAGCAGCGCAGGCTATCGGGAGGGCACGTTTGCAGCCCTGAAACCCTTCTGCGAACCCCCGACCGTACCGCCAACGCCACCATTGGCGCACGCGACGAGCCGTCGAGAGGAAGCGAGGGACTCCCTAAACCGGGTCATTGACCCCAAGACACCGAGTCCAGCGCCGATGGCAGCAAGCGCCGCCCCCATCGGGGAAATGACGCACCCACTGCTCACGCAATCATGCAGCGTGTCAGGGCGAGAAAAAGCCCGACTGTCGTCGTTGTTGCGCCGCTATGACGCAATGTTCACGGACCGACCGGGCTGCACAAACGAAGTACGACATCGCATTGACACGGGCGACGAACTGCCAAGAAGGCAGAACGCGCGACCCGTAAGCTTGGCTAAACGAAAAGCTATCGACCGTGCCCTGGATGAAATGATCGACACCGGAGTTGTCCGGCGATCTAACAGCCCCTGGGCATTCCCCGTGGTGTTGGTCCCGAAGAAAGACGGCAGCTCACGTCTTTGCGTGGACTACCGCCGTCTGAACGACGTCCCACGAAAGGACGCCTACCCGCTACCGAGCATCGACTCGATTCTGTCCAACTTGGGCAGTGCGCGGTACTTCACCACCCTGGACGCTAGCCGAGGCTACCTCCAGGTTCGGATGGAGCCGGGTGACGAGGCAAAAACAGCCTTCTGTTGTCACCGCGGGCTTTTCGAATTCACACGAATGCCCTTCGGTCTGTGCGGAGCGCCAATGACGTTCCAGCGATTGATCGACCGAGTACTGGGAGAAGCCAAATGGAAACACGCAATGGCCTATCTCGACGACATTGTCGTCTACTCCAACACCTTCGAAGATCACCTACGTCATCTCGAAGACGTACTCGACCGGCTAAAAGCCGCGGGAATGACCCTGAACCCCGAAAAGGCTCAAATAGCCGAAACCCGCATCGCCTTGCTCGGGTTCGAACTTGATCGCGGGCGCCTTGCGCCACATCCCGACAAACTACAGGCAATCCTGGAGTTTCCTGCGCCAACCGACGTGAGCTCCCTCCGTCGCTACCTGGGTATGGTGAACTTCTATCGCCAATTCATCCCAAACTGCGCGACGCTTCAAGCACCACTGACACGCCTATTGCGGAAGTCCGTGAGTTGGAGCTGGGGTCCCGAGCAGGAAGCGGCCTTTCGCCGTACCTCCCGAGCGCTCGCGGACACAGCTGAACTCAAGCTACCCGACTTGAACAAGCCCTTTCTGATCCAAACAGATGCCAGCAATCTTGGCTTGGGCGCGGTCCTGCTCCAACAGCACGAAGGTGTACTCCGACCGGTGGCCTTCGCCAGCCGCTCGTTGACGCCAGCTGAAAGGAACTACAGCACATGCGAACAAGAGTGCTTAGCCATCGTCTTTGCACTCCGGCGTTTCGACATTTATGTCGACGGGACCACTTTCGTGATCGAAACAGATCACCAAAGCCTAATATGGCTCTCCCGACTTCGCGAACCCGCTGGTCGCTTGGCAAGATGGGCTTTGATGCTGCAAAAATACGACTACGTCGTGCGGTACCGGAAAGGCAGCACAAACGTGGTGGCAGACGCATTGTCACGAGCCCCCGTAGACTGCACACAGATTTCCACAAAGACCCAGGCTGAGCCAACGACACTCACAGTGCCAGGCGAAGCCGTGACTCAGTCCCAAAGGGAGGCGGCAGATCTGACCACCCCGGACGAGACGATCAACCACCTAGACGCAGTGAGCGCCGTGGGAATCGTGTTCAGCAAAGAAGAGCTTCTGAAAGCCCAGCAGAATGATCCGTTTTGTCGAAAGGTGATCGACGGACTCGTGGAAGAGTCGGACGCCGTGGAGGCGGGCGGTGCGACCGGACTACTGGTATTGTAGTAGGCGCCGAGTGCTGGGACGTATCTGGTATTGGTGCGGGCACGGAGGATTCATATCTGCTGAGCAATGACGGGCTCTTGCTGAGGTACATACCCTCCGAGAACGACTCCGACGAGGCGTTCAAGGTAGTGGTACCCCGCAGTCTGAGAAACGCAGTTTTGCGCTACTATCACGACTCGCACTTGGCCGGACACGCGAGCGGCTCTAAGACTTACTCAAAGTTGTGTCGCATCGCCACCTGGCCGGGCATGAAACGGGACGTTTTCCGTTATGCCCGCACCTGCCACTCTTGCCAAAGCTTCAAACCAAGAGGCGGCAAACCCCCGGGCCTAATGCAACCGATTCCGAGCCAGCAATCATGGTCTCTGGCAGCCTGCGACGTGGTCGGCCCCCTACCGAGGAGCCCTAAAGGACACCTGTATCTGCTGGTTGTAACTGACCACTTCAGCAAATGGACGGAACTTTTTCCACTCCGTAAGCTGACAGCCCGAGCGATCACGGAGAAGCTCATGGAGGTTTTCACCCGTTTTGGGTTCCCCGAAGCTCTTTTGACTGATCGAGCGAGCTACTTCGTCGGGAAGGTATTCGTGGACGCGTGCAAGGCCCTTGGCATAAAGCACAGAACAACCACGCCGTACCACCCGCAGTCGAACATCACGGAGCGATGCAACAGAAACATCAAACCAATGCTGGCCGCCTTCGCGGAAAGGCACCGTGACTGGGACACATATATCCCCGAGATCGGGTTCGCACTTCGGACCACTCTCAACCGTTCGACGGGCTTCACCCCCGCTTTCCTCACATTCGGGAGAGAGCTTCCGAACCCCATGGACCGTGTCCTAGGGGCGAGAGCCGGGGTGGACAACGCGCAGCCGACGCAAACGGACCACGCGCGGCAGCTACAAACTCGGATGACGGAAGCCTTCTCAGAGGCGCGTCGCAATCTCGGGGTAGCGCGAGCGAAACAAAAAGCTCAGTACGACCGCTCGCATCGAGATCTCCGCTACAAAGTGGGCGATCTCGTCCTCAGACGCAACCATGTTCTGAGTGATGCCAGCAAAGGCTTCTCGGCCGCTTTGGCTCCGAAGTGGTGTGGCCCGTACCGAGTGCAGGAGAGAGAGAGAGAGAAAACTTTATTTGTCAGTCAGATGGTGACCTTCTTCGGTTCCTTCAGCTGCTCCACATGGTCGGCAGTTGAAGTCTGTCGGCGACCTCTTGCGCTCTTGCCAAGGCCCGGGACTGGACGTCCAGGTCCGGGCTGGCCAGCACAGCTTCCCATTGCTCAAGTGAGGGAGATGAAACTAGATCTGCCGGAGGCGGATCCTTCGCGCAGTCCCAGATTATATGGTCTAAGGTGGCAGGCTCGCCGCATAGTTGACAGTACGGGTTTACTAGATCGGGAAAGATATTGGCGTATGTCCACGGGTTTGGCTGCGACCGCGTTTGCAGCCGCCGCCACGTGGTAGCCTGTTCTCGGCTGAGCGAAACGTGCGGAGGAGGCAGGCTCATTCTAAGCTCCCTGTAATAGTTGGTTATGGCCTGATACGTATCCAGTGCCTCACCTCGTGGGACCCCGACGTCCAAGTCCCCATCACCTGCTCGGCTGACAAAACCTCGAGCATATTGGTGAGCGGACTCGTTCCCCGGGACGCCCACGTGGGCCGGGACCCATACCAGATCCACTTCCTTCCTATCGTTTGGCATCGTGCTAAGAATTTTGTATGCTGTGGTGGAGATACGTCCCCTCGAGAAATTGCGAAGGGCCGTTTTGGAATCACTTAGAATGGTGTTGGTGCTCTTTTGAACAATCCCTAGTGCTATTGCGGCCTCTTCGGCCTCTTCCACTCGGCCCGTGATCACCGTGGCCGCTACCCTGCGCGAGATGCTCACCGCACTCACAGCGAAAGCATGTTGGCCTGTAGTAAGGTTGTATTCTGCCGCATCAACGTACACGGCACTATCGTCCCCTTGATACTTTTTGCTTAACGTCTTCGCCCTGGCCCTCCTCCGGCCTTCGTGACGACCCGCTTGCATGTTCTTGGGGAGAGGTTTGACACGAATGATTTCGCGCATCTCTACCGGTAAAGTCATCTGGCTTGAAGGATCTCCACTCCTCATGCCTAAGCTTCTCAGGATGCAGAGCCCCGTCTCAGTCTGCCTGAGCCGCCGCTCTTGCGATGTGAGATGTGCCTCAATGAGCTCTTCAAGAGTGTTGTGAACCCCGAGAGATAGAAGTCTCACGGTGGACGCGTTCCTGGGGAGACCAAGAGCCGCCTTGTACGCCTGCCTTATCAAACAATTCAGCTTTTCACTCTCGGCCTTCTTGAGGTCTAGGTAAGGAGTGGCGTACACGATCCGACTGATTACAAACGCCTGAACAAGCCGACATGCATCGCGCTCTTTCATGCCCTGTCGCCTAGTCGCCACGCGCTTAATGAGCCGTATAGTTTGCTGGACCGATGTCGTCAACCTGTCCAGCGTTACCTTGTTGCATCTGTTGGATTGTATGTACATCCCAAGCACTCGCATTGTGTCTACTTCCGGAATTTCGTTTCCCTGAATTTTCAACTGTATCCTGTTCGGCTTCGTTTTGCAGGCCCTTCCGTTATTACGGATAACTAGCAATTCCGACTTTTGTGGGGAGCATTCCAGTCCTGCCCAACGGGCGTGGGCGTCTACGATGTCCGCCGCCTCTTGTAGAGCCGTCTCGATTTGCCCGTCTGATCCCTGACTCGTCCAAATCGTGACGTCATCAGCATATAGTGTGTGTCTAGTACCCTCTATGCCGTTAAGCTTCCTAGGGAGCGTGATCAGCGCGGTGTTGAATAGAAAAGGGGATAACACCGACCCCTGTGGCGTACTCCTATTTCCCAGTGGTATGTGTGCCGACTTCAGATCCCCTATGGTGAGTTGAGCAGTCCTGTTAGACAAAAAATCCCTTATGTAGTCGTATGTATGGCGCCCTACGTTTAGTTCCGAGAGGTTGCAGAGTATCGCCTCATGCGAGACGTTATCAAATGCCTTCTTCAAATCCAACCCCAGGATGGCCCGCGTACCGTGGCCGTTTCCCGGGTCTACGATTTCCTTAGAAAGCTGTAGCATCACGTCCTGCGTGGACAGGTGCGGCCTAAAACCGATCATCGTGTATGGCATGAGGCGATGGGTTTCTACGTGGTTCTGTAAACGCGTGAGAATTACGTGCTCCATGAGCTTACCCAGGCACGACGTGAGGGAGATAGGTCGGAGGTTCTCGATGTCCAACTTCTTGCCAGGCTTTGGTATGAAAGTTACTTTGGCATGTTTCCATGCCGGCGGAATGTTCCCTCCCTTCCAGCACTTATTCATATAGTCTGTTAAAGCCTGGACCGAGTTGTCATCCAGATTTCTAAGGATTTTGTTATTTATTCCGTCCGGCCCCGCAGCCGATGTCGTCCGGAGTCTCTCCATCGCAGCCATCACTTCCGTGCCCTTGATGTCCGCATCTAGTGTCTCATTCTCCATTCCAGTGTACCCGGGGGCTCTAGTCCCATCTTGTGTCGTGTTAATGTATCTACCTTTCAAGTCCTCAAGTAGTTCTTCACCCGTCCCATCGTACTGATGTACTATCTGGTTCAGGCGTGTCCGAGCCGCGGATTTGGTCGTAGTCGGGTCTAGGAGGTGCCGCAGCAGAAACCACGATTTCTTATTTCCCAGTTGCCCGTTTATTCCGTCACATATCTGCCACCACTGTTGCCTGTTGAGTTCATTGGCGTGATCTTCAATCTCCCTTTCCAACCTGGAAATGCGGAGTCTGAGCTTCCTATTGTTTTTGCCCGTCTTCCACCTGCCCAGTAGGGACGTGTGAGCCTCCCACATGTGCATGAGGCGTTTGTCTACCGCCGGGTGTTCTTCGGTGGTGTCCACCTCCCCGGTGGCCCGCTCTGCGTCTCGCTTGAGATCGCTTATCCAGGCGTCCAGGTTGGTAATACCGCCGTCTGCCCGCTTCTCCCTCGTGGTGCGGAATTTATCCCAGTCAGTAATTCTTACCGGGGGTGTTCTGCGTTTGTGTTGCGCCGTGTCGAAGGTAATAGAGACTACATAGTGGTCGCTGCCCAATGGCACTCCTGTATTAAGCCACTCTGCCCCCTGAACATTCCTCGTCAACATGAGGTCGGGGCTCGTATCTTTACTAACGCTATTGCCTATTCGAGTTGGTTGTTGTGCATCGTTTAATATTGTTAAGCCCAGGTCTTGAAAGAACCACCGTTCAAGACCACCGTTACGGTGGTCTTGAAAGTCCACCGTAACAGAAAGAAGAGGGAACCACCGTAACCGAAGCCGAACTCCTCGACGGGAGTTGGAACATGCTTTCCCTGCAGAAGAAATTCGGACGCAAGCCGAAGAGTGATAACCAAGGAGCTACGAGAGGGACGCTATTGCCGCCACCTTCCTCCTCACCAGCGACGCAGCCAGCCGCCATTGTGGGGGCTGACGTAACAAAGAAGAGTACGTTATTCATCAACGCAAGCAAAGCGAAGCCCCGCCCGCCGCCCAAGGCGAGAAAGGGACCCATTCCACGGCTGCCGGACGGGGAGTATAAGATTGTGTACCGTCCTCGATGCCCAGTCAAACTCACAGACTTTGGCGTGGCTCAGATACTGCACGCGGTTTGCACTGTACAGAAAATTGCGGAACCGGTGGCGATCGAAAACGACCACCTGCGAATCCACCCGGAGAACAATACATTCACCATAAGCACGCCGGACGAGGCGCGAGCCCGAACCTATGCAGCGCTGAAGAGCCTCAGCGTCGGAGAGAACACGTACGAGATGAATGCGTACGTTCCACCGCCAGACGACTCAAGGAGAGGAATCGTCTTCAATGCATACAGCTACGAAACGGACGCGGAAATTTTTGACGAGTTCCGGAAACGCAACCCCAACCTCAACGTGGTCGGCGGACGCCGACTGGGCAAGTCAAGACACATGATCGTCACGATAGCAGAAAGGGAGCTACCAAGGTGGATCCGGTACTTGGTGAGTGACCTTCGACTTTTTCCCTTTCACGACCGTGTGGAGGCATGTTATAACTGCCGGAAGACGGGGCATCGGACAGATGTGTGCCCGTTACCTCGCCGGAACCTATGTCGCCGTTGTGGTGATGAGCATCCACCCATGCCGGAAGAGGCGCAGCCTACATGCACCCCCAAATGCATCATATGCACCGGGGGCCACAATACCAGCAACAGAAATTGCAAGTATCGCTTCATCAAGCGCAAGTACGGGAGCAGCTTTGATAAAGAGAAGCAAGGGACGGATGGTCGAACGAGAGATCGAGGCAGGTCTAGACCCCGGGACAAGCACCAGCGAGAGAACGGGTACAGAAGTCGTTCTTCCTCCTTCCCACCCCTGGTAGAGGATCATGAACGGTCCTCAGCAGGGACGGGCGACCCCTGGAGGAAAAGGAGTTCCAGCAGGGGGAGGAGCCCATCGGTCCGACGCAAGTCGGTCAGATGGAAACAAGACGAGGAAATGGAAGCCCTTCGTAAACAGGTGAGGGAGATGTCTAATACCATACTGGATCTGCAGTCCCAGATTAAGGTACACAACACGCAAAAGAAAAAAGCGAGCGAGAAACTTGTGGCAGACTCGCCAGCGGTAGCACTAAAAGCGATAGAGGCCGCAGCCCCCACGATGGGGACGCAGGGTGGCGCCAAGGGTAGAACTCAGAACGCGATGGACACCGAAACGGTGAATACGCTAAAAAGGCAAGCCCCTTCCGAAAACAAGGAGGAGGTTGAGCGGAGCGAGCCGAAGAGGAGGCAAGTTCCCTTGGAGGAGGGCAGGCCCACTTTGACGGCTAGATCAGAACTCTTAACGCAGCTGAAGGAACGCATGGACGCTCAAGACGTTAGGATCACCGCCCTAGAGACTAAAATGGAGCACTTATTTGTGTACATGAACGGAAGATTCGATGAGCTCACGCAGCTTATTTGTCAGAGACTAGAAATTCAGGATGGCGCGCAACAATCAACGCGAACAACAAATTAGGGTGTGGCAGTGGAACTGCAGGGGGTTTGGAAAGAAGACGGGCCACCTGCACCTGCACATCCAAAATGTCGAGGCGAAGCCCGACATTATAGCGCTGCAGGAGAATAGGGGGCTTGTTTCTCTAGCCAACTATAAAACACACCATCAATTAGACGTAGTGAAGAAGCGGGATTTGCTCACCGCAACCCTAGTTCACAGTAATATCACAGCGATTCAGCATGAAATAGAAGGATCCAAGGCGGATTACACCCTAGTAGAAGTGATTCCCAGTAAAAAGGGGGAACGAAACCTTTTCATCCTTAATTTATACAGCTCTCCTAGGGACAGGAGCTCGGTCGTCCCGGACCTCCTCAGGCGAGTGGTAAAGCTAGCGGGCAGAGCACAGCTTGTCGTCGCTGGGGACTTTAACGCGCGACATCCGGCGTGGGGATATCTTAAAGGAAATCCAAAGGGTGCGAAGCTTTGGGAAATCTTTCAAGACCGACTGCAGGAACTTCTCTCCCCACTCGTGTACAAGCTGACAAACTTGCAATCAAGAAAAGTCGGTGGGCCGGTGCATGTGTGCGACCTGAAACCCTACCATGAGAGGGAAAACGGGGCCAACGAGCAAACTCAGCCCCCGCAAAAACATGCACCCGCAGCGCGAGATAACGCCGACGATGAACAACAGGCGTCTCGCTACAATCTGCGTAGACGGAGGAACTATTATCCGAAGTTTTCGTAGAGGCAGCCCCATTAAGTGGCGAAATGTCACATTAAGGGAAGTGCAAAGCACAATACACCTGCTGCCTTCGCGAACGCGCCAGACACCATTGTTTACTGGCAAGCAGTGACCTACATACGTCACCTCAGCGTTCGCTCCCGGATGAACCCGTAAGGGAATCCCCCAAACACGGCTTCCGAGGGAAAGGGTACGCGTAACTGCCATTGGTCAGTTATTGCCACCTACGCTCACGTGTGCCACTTGTCAACGCGAGAGCGCGGTGCGAGCGTCGTCACAAGCGGTCGGAGACCAAGTGGTCATTCTACCGCAGTACGTTCCGCACCTACGAAGAGGAAGACCTCCAGCCTTTGCTTCGCGTCGTTCGGGAGCTGCTGTCTCCTGGCTACGGCAGTTCAGCGGTGTCCAGGGTCCAGAGCTGCGCGTGATTCGTCAGGCTGTCCCGCTACCCCAGCCGGCCGCGGGCCAAACCAGCAACCCGTCGTTTTCGTGGGCCGTCGGGATCGACATCAGGCCAGGGGCGGCCCGCTCATCATCTTCGGGACCCGCGCCGCGTCGGAAAGCTCGCCAGCCAGGGACCAGCTGTTCCCGTTCGTCCCGTAACAAGTCCCAAGGGCCCCGGGACCTGGCGCAGTTCGCCCAGCAGGGCTCGTAGGGCACGCACTACATCGGAAGCCGAGGGATAATCCACCGGGACCTGGCCGCCCGGAACGTGCTCGTCGACGAACACGGCTGCTACAAGGTCGCCGACTTCGCACTCTCCAGGAGCACTGGAACCCCGAGACGGACGTGTACCACCAGAAGCCCAAGGGCGCCCTCCCAGTGCGGTGGATGGCTCCGGAGTGCGTGCAACTCCAGGTATTCCCCTTCAAGTCCGACGCCTGGGCGTCAGAATGCTGCTGTGGGACATTCGTCACTTCGGGCTCGACGCCCCACCCCGGCCTGGGTGCTCAGGAGGTGACCCGCCACGTGCGCGGCGGTCACGGGATGACGCAACCGATCGACTGCAGCTGGGAGCTGTACCGCTGGTGAGGGACCGCTGTACGAACTTTTGGACCATGGACCAATGAGCCGGGCTGTTGTGTCCCGTGGCGGCCTTTTTCTTTTTTTTTCTTATTTTAGTCTAGTTGTTGTGTGTTCGTGTTGGTCCACCCGTTTGCGGGTGACTATTGGCTAAGGAGGGGGGAGTGTGGGGATTGTGATCCCTCAACATTCTGTCGCGTCAGCGTTTTGGCGCGCCGTGGCGGCCGCGCTGGCGTAGCGAGAGGTGGCGCTGCTTACCACTGTGAGTGGCTTCCTCCTCTTCCCCCTTGGGGCGATTTCCGTAACGGACCCCCCGCACAAAGGAGATCGACGTGTCGCTCCTTGATTGGCTACATCGCCCCCGCCGTTATCTTAAAACCAGCGGACAGCAGTCTCGCTTGTGTCTTCTTCCTGGGATTCGGCGGCGGCGACAACGGGGAACCTTCCGGCGCACCGGTGAGCGTTTACCCCGTACTTTGTACCTTTGTGAACGACCGTTCGGCCGTGGGCGATCTCCACACCGACGGCGTTCACCAGCTTTTAGCCGCTGTGTTGTTATTTTGTTTCATTGTAAATAAACAGTTTATCACCGTTACCGACGTGACTGGTGTCTGTTTGCGCTCGACGAGCAGCATGCCACGCGAGTGCGAACCCGCTTCGCGGTAGAGCGTCTCGCCGCGAACGTGGTACTCCCAAAGGCAGTGGCCCTAAGGAGAACCACAAAGGGTATGCGATTTGACGAGGAGGTTGTTTCTGTTGGCATGGTTCCACTGTCTAAGGGTGGTTTTCAACAGGCTACGGCCAATGATGTAGTCCTGCCTTCCGTTATCCGATATGCCACATCGTCTTGGCCTGAGGACAGCAAAATGAATCCAGACCTGCGACCATACTACCAGGTACGAGATCAGCTCTTCCTGTACGATGGCATCTTGTACAAAGGAGAGAAGCTAGTTGTTCCTATGCAGTTCCGAAACAGGATAATGGAAGTAGCGCACGAAGTACACCAAGGGATCACGAGGACGACAGGTGTGATCCGTGAGCATTACTGGTGGCCTCTCATGAACCAACATATAAAGAACAAGATAGAAAACTGTACAGTGTGCCACTCAACTGACAAGACAGTGAAGGCTGCGCCGGCTCCTCTGCAGCCCATCCAGTTTCCTAGTCAACCCTGGGAAAAACTCGGCATTGACATTGTGGGTCCGATTGATCGTGCACCGTTCAGTCAAAGATTTTTCATTGTCCTAATAGACTACCACTCTAAGTGGCCGGAAGTTCAAGCCACGTCGTCGGTAATGTCAGCGACCGTCATCAGCTTTCTGAAGAATGTTTTTTTCACGTGAAGGACTTCCCTGTGTGATTGTTTCTGACAATGGGGTCCAATTCACCTCTCAAGAGTTTCAGGATTTTCTACGACAGAATGGTATTAAACATAAGAAAACATCGTTGTATCATCCTCAAATCAACGGGCAGGTTGAAAGGTTTAATCGCATTTTGAAATCTTGGCTTCAGTTGGCCGTTGTGCAAGGTCGTTCCCTTCCAGACGCCGTTCGGGACCACCTGGAAGCATAT